TTTTTTTTTGGTTTTTCGAGACAGAGTTTCTCTGTGTAGCTTTAAACAGGGTTTCTCTGTGTAGCTTTAGACAGGGTTTCTCTGTGTAGCTTTAGACAGGGTTTGTCTGTGTATCTTTGGAGGTTGTCCTGGAACTCCCTCTGTAATCCAGGCTGGCCTCAAACTCACAGAGATCCTCCTGCCTCTGCCTTCCAAGTGTTGGGATTAAAGGCGTTCGTCACCAGTGGCCTCTACTACTGTTAATAGACACCATGACCTAAGTTTCTAAGCATCTCTTAGAAAACATTTAATTGGGGCTTGCCTACAGTTATAGAAGTTTAGTCCATTATCATCATGGCTGGGAGCATAGTAGCATGCAGGCAGACACAGTGCTGGAGAAGTAGCTGAGAGTTCTATATCCAGATCCACAGGCAGCAGGAAGAGAGAGACACTGTGCCTGGCTTGGGATTTGAAATGTCAAAGCTCACCTCCAGTGACACACTTTCTCCAAGAAGGCCACACCTCCTAATCCTTCTCAAGTAGTCCCACTCCCTCATGATTTAGCATTCAAATTTATGAGCCTGGGGGCCATTCTTATTCAAACCAACACAACTAATCAAGCTGAGTTCAACTTTTGTCCCTTGGGCTGGCACTTTGTTCAATATCTGGTTGTTTAACTTTGACATTTGGTTGTGAAACCATCTGCTACTTTCTCCTGGGTAAATTCATGTTTGCTTTTGGAATAAGAAAACTGTATGTGAGCAAACAGTTTGACAGGATGCAAGCCATGGTGGAGCTAAGGGAAGATCAGCAATCTGTCTCCCGGCCTTCCACCTCTTTCCCTCTAGTCCTACGGGTCTTCCTGCCTCTCCACATCTGGGGCTCCTGTAGTTACGTAGTGTAGGTCCCAAGCAGAACTCCACAGATCAGCCTTGTTGCCCTCCTCCTTCAGCTCCCCTCACTTCTCACTGAGCCTGTGACAGGGCCTCAGAGCCTCCCCACTTCATAGCCAAGACCACTCATGGCTGCCTTTGGGGCCAAGTGTCTCAGAGGAAGCTCTCAGGCAGCCACTTATCTCCTTACTTGTGTTATGGAGTTCATATCCACTGGGAAAGACCAAAGACTCAATCCAAATCCAAATTAAAATGAACTGAATTTATTCTGCTAGCAGGATGGTAAGTCAGATTAGAGGCACGTGACCTGGAAGAGAGTTAGTGGAGGGTATTTAAAGGTAGGTATCACAATTACCTCATTCTCTAAGGAATCTGCAGCTGTGCAAGGAAATTAAATAAGAAACTGTCTCATTCGTGGTCCACAATGATAAGTATGTTTTCAAAAGCTAAGCATAGGGTACAGATCAGAACCTGCATTTTAATAGTATACTCTATCATCTCCTCCATGCCTAGATGCCCAGGTCTCAGTCTGTGTGGGTTCTGTTCAAATCAGGACACCCACCCTCAAGCCTGACAAACCCAGTTTGATCCCTTAGGCCTATATAGTAAAAGGAGAAAGCCAGAGCCAGGCGTTGGTTGCGCACGCCTTTAATCCCAGCACTCGGGAGGCAGAGGCAGGCAGATCTCTGTGAGTTCGAGGCCAGCCTGGTCTCCAGAGCAAGTGCCAGGATAGGCTGCAAAGCTAAAAAGAGAACCCCTGTCTCGAAAAACCAAAAAAAAAAAAAAAACAAAAGCAAACTCCCTTAACTTCCACAGACATGCTGTGCACAAATGAACCCTACACACAAAACTATGTAAACAAATGTAATTTTAAAAAAGAGAAAGTAGCTGCCTGGTGAAGCTCATGGGTTTCTGTTGGCCGAGGCCTTGGGGGTGTCTGTGCCCTGTGCTGGCCTTCCTCACAGTGCCTTGTCAGGTCATTACTGGACAGAGCAGATGGTTTGTCAAATGCCAACTGTCACAAAGACTGTGTGTTAGGGGCAAGTGTCTACACTGGCATTTGAGGGTTCCCTGGGCTCTGCTCTAGATGTGGTGGGCAGCAGCACATATCCACTGACAGCCTGGGTCCCCCTGCCTGTTCTGCTCTAGAGTGAAAGCCCAATCCCCATGGGATTCACCCCATCCCCATGGAGCTGATGAGCAGGTGTGGGATGACAGCACATCACACATCCTGGGTGCCACAGGCATCTCTGAAGTTAGGGCTGATGAGACCCACAGCAATTCTGAGTGCACCACCAACAGAATGTGACTGGGCTCATGCACAGCCTTGTCCTGGTCATAAGGTTAAGACAGACCCAGGCACCATGACCACACTCTTATAATAAAAGAGAGCATTTAGTTGGAGCTTGCTTACAATTACGGAGGTTTAGTCCACCCATGGCAGCACACACAAGACATGGTGCTGAGGAAGTAGCTGAGAGTTCTCCATCCAGATCCTCAGGCGTCAGGAAGAGTGTGACACTGGGCCTGGCTTGGGTTTTTGAAACTTCAAAGCCCACTCCAGTGACACACTTCCTCCAATGAGGTTGCTTCTCCTAATCCTTCTCTAGTAGCACCTCTCCCTGATGACTAAACATTCAAGTCTGTGAGCCTGTGGGTCCATTCCTGTTCACCACCACAGCTAGTGAGTGAGTGGGGTGGGGGATGGAATGGACAGACGGACTGGGAAATAGTAGAAGCTTTTGAAACCTCCAAAAGTCCACACCTCCTAATCCTTTTCAAACCTTGCCCCTTCCCCCTCCCCTGAGATAGGGTTTCTCTCTTTGTAGACCAGGCTGGCCTCTAACTCACAAAGTGCTTAAAGACTGGGTCACCATGCCCGGCAGCCTTTAGTCTTTTTGATGCTTTTCTCTTGGACTTGGAATCTAGTGGTGTAGGCATATGTGGCAGAGGTCTTGTTCTGTGAGGAAAGACCAGTATTTGCTTCTCTGTGGTAGTTATTAAGCATGTTCTGTTTTGTTTGATTTTTGTCTACTTCCAAAAGATACTATATACTGTGTGAGATACCCATTGTCCACATGTCTCCATGGTACAGCTTGGCTCCTACTGAGGTGTGTCTCAGTGAAATGCCTTGTTAATTCTCTCTCTCTCTCTCTCTCTCTCTCTCTCTCTCTCTCTCTCTCTCTCTCTCTCT